TAGCCTCCAGGGGATAAAATCAGCAATTTATGCAACATAAGCACCTACGTATTTTGAAAAAAATATTTAATAATAAACACTTAAGCATTTGCTTATATCCCAGTGACTTAAAGGGACTTGCATGCTTTGTTCAGTTAAACAAAACAGAACAGTGTTATCATCTTTCAGAGTTATACACCAAGTTTAAGGCAAAGTGCCAGTTTTTTTCAATATTTGCAAGCACCCTACTGTACCACGATTTCAACCTAATACATGCATATTGACGCTACCTTTAGCAAGAGAATTCTTTGCATGTATAATTCATGCTCTTTTTTATTGTCTTGCATGCTCTGCACAATGCTGAATATACATACTGTAGCTAAACTAACTAACAATCAAATACAGAGTGATCTGGTCTAACGCTGAGCACTACCTCTATGCTGATTTAGGAAGTAATCAGCATACTAAGGAATGTCAAATGCAAGAACTGTGAGAAACCTGTGTGCAGCATTAGGTCTGAAAAGCTCAAATGCTAAGAACTGCATTTGCAAGTACGATTTCTGAGAAAATCTCAGCAAGTGCCACAAGGTGGAAATGATACTGAGACAGCAGGCAGAGATGAGGGTATATAACTGTCAACAATTCAAATACTGTCTGCTTAAGAGGCCACTGGCAGCACTATATGCCTGTTCAGGTTTCCCAAAGGAGGTGCCTGAATATCTAAGCTTTGAACAGAGCCCTAGCTTGGATCTCTCTCCCCTCCCCGCAGCTACAGCTACAGCCAATCTCTCCCTCTCTCCCCACTCCCTGCCCATTCAAACCCTCCCTGCAACTGCCCTGATCTCTCTCTCTCCCCCCTCTCCCAAACCCTCCCTGCACCTACAGCACAGGCTGATCCACAGCATCTCGACCCTGTCCACAGCTTACTCCAGTTTGTGCACCAGAAGCAACACCAGGCAAGGTACCAGCATCAGCTGTGGACACTGCTGGCAAGTTCCCAGTGGCAACCGAAGTGACTGAGCTGATGCAGCAGCATGAGCTATAGACCTGGGCGGATGCCCAGATCCCTACCTGGAACCGCCAGCTGTATGCTGCTTCCTGCGTGCAGGGCTGGAGCTGGTGTAAGCCGCAGACAAGGCCAGGATGCATGACCCAGCAGCCAGAGGCACTAGCTCCCTATGGGCCGAAACTCAAGATTGTGGTTGCCTGCTGGCAAGCCAGATACAATCACCTGGTGGGCCATTTTGCCCACCCCTGCCTTAAACTAACAAATTAACCAGATTTTACTGTGTAAAGCATTTCTAGATACAGCCAAATGTGCACCTACTACATAGTATGAGGCAACGAAAGCTATCAACTAAGAGACAGGAAACTAATATCTTGATTTCTGAATTTTAAAAGTCTACTACTGAATTCAGATAAGTAGTTATATTAAGTATTGAGGGGTATTACGTATGTGGAACTAGTATGGATTCCATCGCAGAATCTTTGAACTCACTAGTCTACTCAAATTAGGTATGCCCCATATGTATACGAGTTTCTCCACTTCATTCATTTGAAAGACTTCTGAATTCCTTGTCAGTTATTACATGCAAGGACAAGCAAATTGCTCAACCCTATGATACAGCAATCATTTTTACCACTGATTCATTTTCTTAATGTTGCAGTAATTAAAAGTTTATTAAGCCAACCATACCAGTCATTTCTTGCAAATTAGTATTCTTGTAGTAAAAGTACCTTAATTTTTCTCTTCCTTTTCTCCTTGGACCAAAACATCTAGCTGGCAAATACTCAAGTTAGTGTTTGGATTATTTTATGTACGCAGTAAACATAGTATTTTCATTTTAAAACACAATTTTCCAAGAACACTAACCAACCAGCCTTTGTGGTAACTGAATATTATTCAGTGAACCGAGTATAATGTTGAGAAGCTCTTAACCCATTAGACTGCCCTTGCCCAATTCTGGTGTGAACACGTTTTCTACTGAAAACCAGTTAACTTTGGAAGAGAAACTAGATCAAAAGGAAAAACTAGCCAAAAACTCACCTCCTTTAATCCATAGTACTTGTCACATATCCCAATTATTTTATTTGGAGGAAAATACTAAATTATTCCCTATACTGATTCCCCATATACATTATACTTCTACTGCAAGAAGTTACCCATCCTCCTTACTGTAAAAGCTAATTTTCTGAGTTAACTTTGCCTTTAGCAATTTTCTCCATTAATAAAACAAAACAACTCTGTAAGAATTGTACAACATATTATTTACTTACCCAGATATCTGCCTTGGTAGTAATTGGTTTTCCTCCATAAAGATTGATCATTTCAGGAGCTCTGTATGACAGGGTTGTATACCTAGCAATAAGTAAAGTAAATTGAAAAGAAGATGAAATGCAAGATTTACACCGGAACTGCGTGCATCTTTTAAAAATCACCCACCATTCACAAAAGCTACCGCATGCTAATTTTACATAAGCAAAGAAAATAGTTACAAGTTTCTTCCACCAAGAGTAATATGCTACATTCCCCTCACTGTTGTATGTAGATGGTTCACTAACAATATAGTGGGACATTACAGCCAGACATGATAGCCCCAAAATTTGCTTTAAAAAATTATTACCTACTAAAATTTACTTCTTACTAAGAATACTTCTTTTGCCTTTTCCTCTTATTTGTAATCTAGGCTGTCACACTGAAATTTTTATAAAGCAAAAATTAACAAACAAACAAACAAACAAGTAGAATTTAAAACAGCAAGCAGAGATTCTACAGGCAACCCCCGCTTAGCGCTCTTAATTGGTTCCTGAAAAAACAAGTGTTAAGCAAAATGAGCATTAAGTGAAACCAACAGTATTTGATGACACAAGATGACGACTGCAAGTGTTTTTAATGACCCAAGATGGCAACTGCAAGTGTTGTAACGAAACTCACTGAGTGCTAAGTGAAATCAGTTACCAGTTTAAAATGAGCATTATAGCGAAATAGTGCTAAGTGAAACAGCATTAAGCTGGGTTGCCTGTATACCATTTAAACTAAAACAAAAACAAGTTTAATTTTAAAAGCAGCTTAACTAAGCTAATTTTACACTCAATTGGGGCATCTTCCATTGCTCACTTTTGTAGTTTAGTACTATGCTGTCCCTAATCCCATCCACCTGTCTCAGAAAAGTGCTTAAGTAGTCTCTCCTTGAAACACTCCAGTGAAAAAGTTTCCACAATTTTTCTAATCTGTCTCACTGTCAGTTTCTTCTTTCAGTTAGGAAGTTTTTTTGATCTGAACCTGCTTTGTTGTATTTGAAATGTATTGCCTTGTGCCCTGTTTCACCGTATTTTTTATGGCAGTTCTGAAAATTTCCATCAGAGACATAATGAAGTGGCCAGCTGGGCCAGCTGCCACACACAGGGGCACTGGTGACTTCTAGTTGCTGCTGCACCCCCTGCGGCTTGAGAAGGCTGTCCATGTTGCATCTCCTTCCTCCATATTAAACATACCTAGTTCCTTTCACTTTTCTTCACGCGGCTTGCATTCCAACTTCTTTATCATCTTTGTTGCTTGCTCATCTCAGGGTCCTCTCTAGTTTTTCTATATTTTAAAATATAGTGCCCAAATCATAACAATACTCCAGTTGAGGCCTAGCCAGCACTGAGCAGAGGGTATCATCACATCCAAAGTTGCACATACAGTGCTTCTATTAACATAATTCAAAATTCAACCAACCATGCACCTGCCCGCATAGGTCCTACCCCTGGCAGGGCAGACAGGCTAGGGTGCCTGGGCAGCAGGGCAGATCTAGAGGCAGCAGCTGCAAGGGCTACTGGGAAATGGAGTCTACCAAGAACCCAATCCAGCCTGCAGGCCAAACTATGCCCACCCCTAAACTAGACTGTTCTCAGTGGTGGCAGATGACAAAACAAGGAACAATGGTCTCAGGGTTTTTAAGAAGCAGCTAGGCAAATCCTTTGCTGGGATGATGTTTTGGGGGTGGTTCTGCTTTCATTTTAAAGCAGGGGGTTGGACTAGATGACCTCCTGAGGTCCCTTCTAGCCCTAATTTTCTATGATTTCAAGTACTGCACTAAAAGGTACATTCAGACACTGGAGTTGCATCTTTTAACTGATTCTTGCCATGCAAGAAGCAGGGATTCCATGTCTCTCATTTCCACAGAACAGTAAGTGTGCTCATACAACTTAAAGTATCTTCAGATAACATCAGCAGTGTACCTTAAGAAATAGTTGCAAAAAACTGATAATACCTATATACTTCTGACAGGAAAGAATGCTTGTGGGTAATATTTTTGGTATAGGCTTAGACATCACCACCACATTGTATTAGAAACCAGCCAACTAATACAGCTACCACCAGGCTGCCAGCTTTCAGCCTAAGCACACCACTAGATCCATCATTTATTGCCAAGCTCCACATTACAACTAGATCTGCTCTGGTCCCACTGACCAAGATGCACACCTTAAGGATCTGGGGCATAGATTGCAATTGCAATACAACCCTAAAACTGTAGGCACTTAAAATCAACAAAGCCAGACTCAAACCTTGCTCTAACCTCCTACAATACCAACCCTGAGACAAGGGCAGAGTCCCTGTAATTGTTACATACAGCACCTGGCTTAAACATCTGAGATACATCATTAATAACCTCCAACCATTCCTGGAAAAGGATGACTGTCTTAAAGCAGTCATGGGGCACAAACCTGTCTTTGCTTATAGGTAGAACGCCCCAAATTGAAACAGTGTCTCTCAAGCAATAGCTTACCTAACTCCTAGTCTCACCAAGGCATCAGGTATTGCTAAGGGCCCAGAAGCCTTCTCTTCTGTGCTCCATCATCATCACTGGACCAAACAACACGAATTATAAACTAGGGCCTGGTTTAAATCATAATTCTGTATTTTTCGTGAAGTGATTTTCACAAAAAATGTGATTTGCCCTGAAATGCCACAATATGGTCGCTTGCTGGGGTGTTCCCCAGCAAGAAGCCATACTGTTGCATTTCTTTGCAACACACTGGCTGCTGCAGGCTGCAGAAAGCATTCCCCAGTCAGCAGCAAAAGCCTAGCATCCCAGGGGAGGTGGAGAAGGGGTTGGAAAAGGGAAAGGGACAGGGGGAGGAGAGAGCTTGGGGATGGGTTGTTTGCTCCTCTGGGCAGGAAGACAGGCACAGGGGGTTGGGGGTGGGGGAAGAGAATACACTCAGCCTTGAGTTCATCATCATTACTGCAGACTGGCTGACACTGAGCTCGATATCAGACTTGCTGTCAATTAGCCAGGAGCCCAGCAGTGCAGAATGGCATTTCTGAAAAGGGAATTTCCTCCCTGCCTGTCAGAAACAACTTCCACTTCCTGCCTCTTCCGCTGCACTGGGGGGGGGTGCGGGAACAGGGGTTTTTCAGCTGTGATTTGATCTTAGGAGCAAGGCCTCTGCTGTTAAAATGAAACCTGGCCCTAAATCTGCCCCTGCAGCCAAATCAGAGAGCATTGGGGGGGAGGGGAGGTGTCATCATGATCTGGGCATGAAAATGGTAGCCCTGCCATGATCAGGCCACAATGGTAGCAAGCTGTGCCCACAATTCATAAATTGTAAATTGTGGCTTGTAAACCAGGCCATAATTACAACATCTGAGGTTCATTCACTTGCAATTCTACCAATATCACATACACCATCACCTGTAAGTGTCCCTCTGCCATCTAAACTGAACAGATAAGGAAATCCCTACAGAAAAGAATTAATGAACATCACTCTGACATGAGCTGTAGAAGAACAATTTACCCTTTCTGGACACTACATCGCTGACCTGAGAGTGACTGATTGTTCTCAGCCAGCAAACCTTTAAACACCAACCTGAATGGGAAATTGTGGAACAAGAAATCATTGCAGACTCACAGCATCTGATTCATAGATTCTGAGGCTGGACGGGACCTCGGGGGATCATGAGATCCAGCCCCCCTGCACCAGACAAGACAGACAACTGGGAGTCAGGTGACTGCAGCAAGGTGACTATCCAGTCTCCTCTTGAAGATTTCCAGGGTAGGCAATTGCACCACCTCTGGAGGGAGCCTATTCCAAAGTCTGGACACCCTGGCTGTGAAGAAATTTTTCCTAATGTTGAGCCTGAAACAGTCTTCCAGGAGTTTATGGCCATTACTCCTGGTTTTCCCCAAGGGCGCCCTGGTGAAGAGTTGTTCACTGAGCCCTTGATGTACACCCCTGATGTAGCAGTAAGCCGCTATCAAAGTCCCCTCTCAGCCTTCAGGCTAAAGAGTCCCAGGTCCGTTAGCCTTTTCCTCATATGGCTTGCCATGCAAATCTCTGATCATACAGATGGTCCTTCTCTGGACTCTCTCAAGCTTTACCATGTCCTTGTTGAAGTACAGTGCCCAGTACTGGATGCAGTACTCCAACTGCAGTCTCACCAGTGCTGAGTACAGTAGAAGAATCACTTCCCTAGTTTTGCTGAAGATGCATCAATTGATGCATGCCAGGGTATTATTTGCCCTGTTGGTTACAGTGTCGCACTGCCAGCTCCTATTCATATTGTGGTCTACTATTACCCCCAGGTCCCTTCCATTCACAGTGCTGGTCAGTTTGGCGTTGCCAAGCCTGTAGGTATGTCGGGGGGGGTTTATCCCCAGGTGAAGCATTTTACATTTCTCAACATTGAACTTTATCGGATTCCAGTCTGCCCAACATGCTACCCTGTCTAGGTCCGCCTGCATTTACAGCCTATCTTCAAGCATGACCACGCTTCCCCATAACTTGGTTTCATCCACAAACTTAACCAGTGAGCTCTTTACCCCAACATCCAAATCACTGATAAAGATGCTGAAAAGCACTGGACCAAGCACCAACCCGAGGGACACCACTGGCCACTTCTCGCCAAGACAATATAGATCCGTTCATTAGAACTCTGGGTCCTACCTGGCCACCAGCTCCCTACCCACCTGTCTCACAGTTAAGCCCACAGTCCTCTAATTTTCTCACGAGAATATCATGGGATACTAGTTCAAAGGCCTTTTGGAAGTCAAGGTATGCAATATCAACCTCCTCTCCCTTATCCAGGTGGTAAGTTACCTGATCATAAAAGGAGATGAGGTTGGTAAGACAGAACCTGCCTGTGACGAAGGCATGCTGGCTGTCATTCAGAATCCTACCTTCTGCCAGCCTGTCACATATAGACTCCTTGATGAATTTTTCCAGGATTTTCCTTGGGATAGAAGTTAGGCTGAAGTGAACTCCAGCTCACAAAAGCTTGTATGCTCACCAGGCTAACTATGTCTCTCAATCTATCCTAACCACAAGCTGGCCCAATAAAAAAAAAAAATACATAGCCCACAAGAATTTTTGCCTGTTTATATTTCCTATAGGGGTGTGCGAAGCAGGCCATATTTGATTCGGACTCCGATTCAGAAGACAGTGATTCGATTTACTGATTCAGATCACTGTCCCAACTTGATTAGACCGAATCCGGATCTGAAGATTCAATTCCGATTCAGTGAATCAGCGATTCAGCCATAGACACAGCTTTATATGTTTTTTCTACATACCTCAAGGTACCAGGTGCCACTCATGAATGCTGAGATAGTGGGGCAGATAGAACATCCCACAGGGGCACAGGGGGGGAGCCCCCCCTGCATGTGCTCAGTGGACCCAGAAGTACTTCTGGTCCACTTCCGGGTCTGCCACCAAGCATGCGAGAAACTCTCTTGCACCTTCCCTGGCTCAGCAATCAGCTGTGGGGGGACCCCGGATGCCCCCCCCAGACCCAGGAGGCACCAGTTGCTGAGCCAGGGGGGCGGGGAGGGGGTCCCCCTTGTGCTCTGCGGCAGACTCAGAAATGGACCGGAAGTGCTTCTCGTCTAATTCCAGGTCCACAGCTGAGTGCAGCCCTAATTTCCTGAACTATCATGGTAGCAACATACTGTGTAACTTTTCGTTTGGAATAATCTAAGTATCACTAAGCAGGTAAGAAAAAAGAAACAATTTCAAAACTCAAAAGTTATATAATTCCTCCAATTAAACACAGTGGAATGGGCACAGTAAAAGGGACAACAAATAGTACACTGTCTTAAAGAAGTCTAAAATTTAAAGACTCCAAGCATTTTTGTAATTAATACTGCCATTCCATATTTAGTACATTAATTTTAAGTTTTTGCTGAAAATGTACATAAACTGTTATTTTACTGTGTCAAATTTAGGTATTGTACATTTCCAATCAATAAAGAAATTCAGTAGAACTACTTCTTGAACAGGAGTCGTGCACTTAAATCATCACAAATTTTAATTTGTTCCCACTAAACTACTTGCTTCCCTTAATGCATATCATACAATAGTTTTCTTAACTACACAGAATTTAGTAAGTCCTTACTGAATAGCCATGGAAAACATACTTACTTTTTAATCTCTTCTTCAACTACATTAACACCATCTTTCTGGGGATTAAGGAATTTGTTAGTGGCACTGCCAAAGTCACAAAGGACATAGTTTCCATTGTCATTTAACAAGATATTCTCTACCTTAAAAGAAAAAAAACAAAAAAGATATAATCAAAAATACAAAACTAGCAAGTAAACATAAAAAAATGGCCCTACGGTTGTGGGCAGACATGTATTTGTAGCACTTGGAGGGGGATCCGCTTGTTTGCAGCCCTCTGGTTGGAGCTCTACAAAATAACTACAAAGACATTGCCTTCCAGTCAGAGGGTGATAGAGGCTGTTCTTTAGGAGTCCTTGCATTCTCCCACAGAGGGTGGCAAGCTGTCAAAAAGTGCACTGTTGTCTACAGGGCAGCAGCACGTTCTGTGACAGCTTGCCACTGCTGCCCTAGTGACCAGGACAACAGTACAGTCTGATAGCTTACTGCATGCCACCAGTGATCCCTGGTGGTGTGGTGACAAAAGCAGAGATCGCTGCCACTGTTGCCACAAACATGGTTGCAGCCCCCAATCTTGGCTGGGTTATGCACCTCAAAGACTAACAAAAAGGCAACTGCTCTCTCCCCCTCCCCCCGACCCAAAAAGGGGGGAGAGGGAGGAAGGGGAAGACAGACACAAGAAGAGCATTTTAGGATGCTGGGGGAAGTCAAGAGACCCTTGCTCCCAAGCCATATATACTTGTATGGATATTACATACATGCAGCATTATGAAAACAGAGTTACAGACAAGTTCCTGTTTCAAATATTTCTGTAGCACTTACACTATTTTGTAGCACTACAGGCGTATATACACCTGCTTTTCATAGTGCTACATGAGCATATACAGCACTACAAATATGATGTTTGCCCATGACCAAAATAAGCAGCTACTTTTTTTCTTTGGGCTCTTTTTTAGAATGCTGATGTATCAAAAAATAGCTCTACTAGTAAAATATTAATTGAAATACCCCAGTACTAATTTAAATACCCCAATAATATCATTCTCTGGGAACAGGATACTGAAACATATTTATTTCATTTAATTTTCTGGTTATAATTATGCAGCCAGAAACGCTTTTTCTTGCTTCTCTGTAAACAACTAAGTGACTTCAGTCATCTTCTGTAGACTGCTCAGTAGAAACATACATTTCAGTTCCATGTTACCTTTTATTAGAGTTCTTACCTTGAGGTCCCGGTGAACGATGGGGGTTTTACACTGATGCAGTCTGGCAACAGCTTCACAAGTGTCACAAAATATCCTCAGCACTTCTGACTCCGTAAACCCTGTCTGCAGACGCTGATTCATCTGATTCACAACCTGACCCGCTACAGTAAGTATACAACATTTTCTGTTCAAATACTGTGTAGCATTTAAAAAATAACATTTGTATGAATACTCTCAGCATACAAAATTTAAAACACTGACAATAATGTCTATGTATTTAATAAAAATATATTTGAGTAAGTCTAATACATTTCCCAATCCATTATAAAATGACAGTTAGTTCTCTTACCCAAAATTGCATTAGCAAATATAAATTCTCTTCTTTAAGAGCATCTAATTCATGAATATTCCTGCTCAAACCCACTGAACGAAGGCAGAATAGTATTTATAACTGAATCTTCGCATTCCAACATACTTCATGATCCACCCCCCTCCCATATTATCAAAACTAAAAGGGGTGGGGGGAGGAAAATAAAAAATAAAATTAGAAAATTGCTTATTATTTAGAAAGGTGAAGAAAAACAAAACATTTACAGAAATGTCACTACCGTTACAGTTAACTCCATATAACATAGCTTCTTGGCTGGTTTCAAGATGTATACAAAAAACTACACCTGTGCTAAACTGAAGATTACAAAAATACTAGGCAAGCATAAGAAAAATGTCACCATATGTAGCACATTCATATTAGGGAAGAAGAATGTAGGCAAGAACTGTAGTTTTGTTTCTTTTTTATAATTAGATCCACAGTTCAGGACATAAATTTTAATTCACACACACAAAAAAAACAACAAGCACTAACTATCACTTAGCCAGAATATAGTACAAGTGCAAAGAGTTCCAAATAATGTGTGTCCGTTGGACAAATAGCCAAGCCAGCGAATGACTGTCAGCAGCCAGAATTAATCCAAAATTATAAAGAAATCTGAATTCAAAGAGAATGAATAATGTTCACTGCATCTTTCTAATTTCCTCACACAGAAGAAATTTTTTAAAATGCATCCTTATCATGAAAAGCACTGAAAGCAAAGGTACATTATGCAAAGACTGCTATCTGGAAAAAGAAAATTATTTTTATTATTGAAAAAGTAATAATATAGTAAAAAAGTAAAGAATAACTGGTACAGGTTATCTTATAGACTAATATTTCTTCTTCTGCCATGTCATATACATCTGGAAGAATGTGCCCAGTTGTCAGAAGAAGATTTTGTATCACTGGGAATCTTTAGCAGTCAAGCAATCATTCCTAACTTTAAAATTCCCTGGAAAAAATACAAGAGAAACTGGTTTTCTATAGAGAAATTATCTGATGAAAGAATCACCCAGACAAGAGGGAACACAATACTTTTCACAGACACAGAAATGCAGGGGGGGAAGTTAATTCTGCAAGCACGTCAACAGGAAGGTTTTGAAAAGAAAGGACAGCTTTCATTAAACTCATCTCAAACACCAATAACCACAAATTATGACATCTGTTTAAAGCAGTTAATTGAACAAGAGAAGTGCCTTCACATTCCACATTAATTAGTAGCTTAATTTTCTATTTCATCTGTAATGTAATAAAATTAAACAGGCATTTACATACAGCAGCACATCTTATCATATCTTATTGCCATTTGGTATAATATACATACATTTCCTTTTACAAGATTGAGAACCTGCAGTTTCTACTAACTTTGAATGGCACTACTTAAATTCAGCAAAAACATCAGCAAGACAACAAAACCATACTTCTCTTAAATTTTCAGGGAGAGATGTACATGATTAGCTATGAGAAGAAAAAAAAAGTATGCTTGGTGTGAAAAAAAAAGACTCCACAGGAAATTAATTTTAGAACAATTCCTAAAACAGTACAATTGGCCATTACCAGAAAGTATGTATGTAGTTTTAAATCCACAGAGCCATGGAAAATCAGAATCAAAATCCTTGCAAAAATTTGTATTAAAATTTTTTCATGAACAGCAAACTAAGTGTTATCAGGTCTATTCAACAGCACCATGGTATAAATGAAATTAAGGCTAGGGGATGAAGAGAACCATGGTTTGCCAGTTCTCAGTGCCCCTTCTGGAAGGTGACATGCTTTCAAAAGAGGAAGGGGAAAAAAAATAGCAACTAGGGCTGTCAAACAATTAGAAAAAAGTAATCACAATTAATCGTGAAATTAAAAAAAATAGTTATGATTAATTGCAATTTTAAGTCACACCATTAATAATAAAATCTTTTTTTTTCTTTTTTTTTCTCACAAAGATTTTGGATTTTTTTTCTATATTTTCCAAATAATTTGATGTCAATTACAACACAGAATATAAACTGTACAGTACCCACAGACCCCTGGCCCTGCTAGTGCCCCTCACTTCTGACCTCCTCAGGCTCTGCCAGTGCACCTCACTCCCAACCTGAACCCCCTCCCCATCCCTGCTGCTGCCTCTCACTCCTGACCTGCAGCCCCCTGGCTCTACCAGTGTCCCACACTCCCATCCTACAGTCCCTCACCGCCCCGGGCTATGCTGGTGCCCCTCAGTCCCAACCTGCAGCCTCCTCCATCCCTGCTGCTGCCCCTCACCCAAAAATTCAGCCCATGCAGAGCTAGCAGAACTCAGCTGGCACAGGGACCGCAGCACTGCAGCCAGGGGGAACCTCAACTGAGGGAGGGATGGAGGGAGGGAGAACAGGGTGGGCAGAGCAGGGCACTTACCCTGCTCTGCCCACAGCAGTGGCATGCAGGTGGCAGGGAAGCCTGGCAGGTGCCAGTGCCATCCCAAAGCTGTTGCTGGGTGAAGGGGAAAAGTGGCACTTCTCCCTCACTGCTGCTGGGCCCTTCCTGCTGCAGCTGCCCAGGCCTTTTGCCGCCAGTGTTGCCCTGCTGGGCAGCCCAGAGGCAGCAGAGACAGTGACAGAGGGGCATTGCAGGCCAGCCCAGGCATGGGCTCCAAAACCACGTGTGCAATTAACACACAAAAAAAATTAACTCATTAATTTGTATTTGTATTAATTGCACAGATTAACACAAATTAACCAACAGCCCCAATAGGAACATCTTCACTTTTACCCCCTGTGCCATTTCTCATGTTCAGATACATAACATGCCTGCTTCAAAATGTTGTAGGTGGCTTAGGGCAGAGGTCAGCAATCTCTTAAAAGCCATGGGCTAGAAGAATCCAGCTCTAGTCCAAAGCAGTACAAATGAGCTCTCTGATGCATCAGGGTGGGAGTCTTTTACCATGCACATGCTGGATCCAGGCAGCTGGGAGCTGTGCCCATGCTGTCACTTCTCTCCAAGCCCCCTGCTCCCTGACTGCATTGTGGGCAGAGCTTCCAAACAAGGGAGAGGTGCACCCACACCAGGTATCTGCAAACTATGCCCACACTGCTGTTGCTTCTCTCCACTCCCCCTCCCCAGCTACAGAGTAGGCACAGCTGGAAGTTGCCCAGCCCGGTGCCGCTCTACACCAGTTAGAAACTATACCCATACCACAGCTGGGAAAGAAACAATGATAGCACTGATGCAGTTTATAGATGCCTGGCTCCAAAGCAGCTCCTCTCAGGCTGGAAGCTGCACCCACCCCACAGCCAGGGAGCTAAGGGAAGCAAAAATTGATGCAGGTGTAGCTCCTAGCTCCCTGGCTCCAGTGTGGGCACAGGAAAATCCCCATGCTGCTGATGCATCACCAAAACCACCTGGCCCACATCAGACCAGAGCAGGGAAGCTGGGGAGATGCAGAAGTGGTGCAGGTGCAGCTGGAAGCTGCCCAGCCCCAACATGGTATACAGGCAAAGACCTCTAGCTTCTCAGACCATATGCAGCCTGTGGAGCATGTGCTGCCTACTCCTGGCTTAAGTCACTCTACAGCATGATAAACAAGGAGAACCCATCCACAAAAAAACAAGTTTGCAGCGGCATATAACAAAAATCAAGCAATTACAGTTACTAACTTAACCACAGCAAGGAAAAAATTCAGCTCGTCTGACAGAAGTACAGAGGAATTTTCCTCTACCCTACATCAACAAGCATCTAAGAACTAGTTTTAAAGCCTAGGACACAGCATTCATGCAACTCCCAAAAGGCTTAGATTTCTAAAATGTTGCAGAAGGCTCCCGATGCTTCACTGTCTTACGGCAAAATGGGGGGTATGTAGAAGTTACCACAAAGTAGAAGCAGATCTACTCTTCTGAAAAACAGCATCATATGAGTCTCTGCATCTGTCTGACAAATAATTCCAACTGGCCAATCATTTTCATTCACAGTTTTTGGATAGGTGGGAACAGGGGGCAAGTGTCATAGGCCAATAATCCTCAAGGGAATAGCAACTCAAAGCATCTAATGTACTGGTTTGGGGGGAACAGTTTATTTTCACATGGAACATTTACCTTGAAACCTATTCTGCAAACTGACCAAAACTGGCTCCTAACACTAACTTAATCTCCAGATGTTCCATCTCCAAGATAGGAGAGGATTTAAATAACTAAAATGATCATAAGATATACCATCATCTAAAGCAGGGGTGGATAACCTGAAACAGGTGCCACAGAAGTCTTCATGAGTGGCACATGGCAGACAGGGGAGGGGACAGGCAGCACAGCAGCAGACAGGGCAAGAAGCAGAAAGCACAGCAGGCATGCAGCATATGGTTGGGAACAGAAACTAAAGCAACAGATGGGGTAGGGGACGGGGACTGGAGTGGGATGATTCTGAGCTAATTTGTGGCATGCCTGCCAAAAAAAGCTCGCCCCACTGAAAAAAACCAGCAATTTCACGATGGGGTGTGGAGAGGAAATACTCCCTTTTTTCAAGGTTTAATGCAGGTGTTTTCAACATTTTTTTTTTAAATAAGCACACCCCAGCAGCCCCCTTTTTAATAAATGTACCCCAGGAAAGGGGGGAGGGAGGTTAGCAGCCAGAGGCGGAGCAGAGAGGTGGCAAGCGGCAGCAGCATGACATCTGTGCGGCCCTGCTCTCACCCCGTCCCTGCAAGGCAGCGGCACACGGTGACAGCGCTCCATCCCTGCCCACCCCCCACAGGCCCCCAGGACCTTTCAAAGTACCCCTGGTTGACAACCCCTGGTTTAATGCATATATTAATGGAAATGATAAGGCTCAGAAATATCTAGAGGTTTTTGAACAAAACACGAAATGGTCATATGCATATCAACATTTACATGGGGGTTTTTTTTAATCACATCTCATGTTAAGTAATCCAGAAAGCTCTTTTAAATTGAGCCTAAAAAGTTGTTCCTCTTAATTAGAAAGAGGACTGAAGTATGGACTTGGCTAAAATGCATATCATCTGCTAAAGATAACCCTAGGAATTCACGTTACAAATCATCTTCTCATCCTCCTAAAGAAATCCCAAAAGGTAATTTACCTACCTCGACAATACTCCATTAAAATCAGCACCTCCCATACATTATCACTGACAGGATTAATTGCACAATCCAAATAGCCAACAATATTCTTGTGTCCAGAGAGCTCTTTCTGAAAGAGAAAAAGGCAGAAGGAAAAAAAAGAGCATTAATACTTGTATAGTTAAAATTTCAATCAAGTCAGCATAGAAAACCATAGAACTTGAAGAATACAGAACCTTTTATTCTAGATCAGTGGTTCTGCACTGGAATGTTGTGCAACATTAACTGTTAGGTGAGCAAACACCTACAACATGATTCACAAAATAAACAAGAGTTTTCAAATAGAAATCCACAGCATCCAAAACATTCTGACCTAGTGTGGTCTTCTGAGTTCCCTGCCAACAGAAGGATTGCTCTATTTTTCCGTAATGAAAAGCTGGATGAAAGCTAAGAGGGGGTACTTCCCAGTGTTATAATAGAAGGTAGCTGTACTAGCAAAGTTATTTACACAGCTTCAGACAACCCATCTGGGAACAGCTGGCTCAGCTCAGCTTTTCTCACTCAATGAGACATCACGCTGCCATTTTATATTAGTCAGTGCTAAACATCCACTTGTGCAGTTTATGCTGTTTGTCCTGATTAACAAATTCAAGATATTTACAAGAACTGCTATGTTAAAGTGTCGTCTTAAATCACAATATGGTTATTTGTGCATGTTTTTTCCATTTTATTTTAAAATATGTTCCCAACATAATTTTTTTTATGCAGTACAATAAGTAGAGGTGTACCAATACATCAGTCCCATATCGGATCGGCACCAATATAAGGAAAATAGAGAGCACTGGCAATCAGCTTTTTTTAACTGACATGGCCAATAAATGCTGTGTGCATGTGTGCAGCCACAACATGCATACAGCCAGGAGCACAGCCTGGTAGCGTGGAGACCAGTGTCGGGCTAGTAAATCTGTTGTGAGGGAAGGGCTAGGGGAGAGAAGGGGTGTGGGGGTAGATCAAGACCCCACCATGAGGAAGTGGGGCTGGGGTAGGTGCTGCCTAGCTGGGGCGGGACACGGGACAGAGCCGCAACTGGCTCGTCCAGAGGTGGGGGAGGGGGTGCGGGTGGCTCCTGCCATTGCATGCAATCCGGGAGGGCATGAGGGGGTACGTACACCTGCATTTGCGCATGGGGCAAGGGCAGGCTGCCACTGTGGACTGTGGCCAGGGCAGCTCTGGGCTCTTCCCAGCGGGGGCCTGGGCCAAACTGCACTCAGAACTTCTATCTGTCCCCCACCTACAGCACACCCCCAC